GGAGGTGGGGGATATGGGTTAAGGAAAGCGGGGCAATCAGATCTTACTTTTTCCTCCCTAGAAGTCTCTCTGCTCAGCATATTCTGAACACAGTCTGGCATAATTTTTGAGGCAGGCAGACCCTGTCACTCCTCAGTTTTGGACACTTTGTGAAATATGAAATGAGAGATGGTAAGGGACAAGAAGGCAAATGGCTGTTATGAAGAAAATAGCTAATCCATCAAGATTAGCTATTCTAACTCTAGCTCCTCAAAAATGTGAAGTTCTTTGTTGTTAGATCTGCTTCTAACATTAGCAGACTGCTGATAAAATGAGAAGCATGCAGAGGCTGCAAGGGGCAACACAGATCTAGTTCAGATGCACAAAAAGCCAATTCAGTATATAAGTTATTTTATTTTAAATAAACATGACTTTATTGTATTTACAGTAAAGAAAATGAGTCCCTTATGACCACTGAGTACCCTCATGCACATACATACCAAACAGTGCTTCTTCTATTTTGAGATAGTTATACCGTGGGTGGAATCTCAGAATCTATAGTAAAGGGAGAAGAGTTTCCGTGGTTACCTAAAGGTGATATTTTTTCTTTAGGGATGGAACAGAAGAAGAACTTCCCAGATATTGCTTAAAAATTATATGTACAAGCAGCCAGAGAGTTGAAGGTTGTCAAATAAGACAGAGGTTAAGTTATCCCAAAGCAAATGCCACCATCAGTAGCATTATCTACAAGGACACTGCAAGCTTAGACCAACAAGGCTGGGTAACCAAACCCAAGATTTCTATAGTAATAATCCAGGGATTCTAAGAGGAGCCTTTTGTAGGGGAAAAAATACAACTTTATAAAACCATGTCAAATAATAGAAATTCTAAATATACTGCAGCCATGAAAGAAATTCAATTAGTAGTTTAAAAATTCCAGACCCCCCAATAATAAATAAAACCAATATTTTAAGGCAAATTCCATGAAATTTCTAAAGAAAAGATCATTCTAAGCTCTTCCAGAGAAGACAAAAAGAGAGGAACATTCCCAACACATTGATGACAAAGTGAGAAAGCACAGGACAAAACAGAATTATAGGCAAATTCTAGTCAAATGCAAATGCAACACTCCTAAACAAAATATTAGCACGTCAAATCCAGGAGTTACAAGTTTATGGGTTTAGACATATAGACATATGTGGATAAATATAGATACCTTATACAGATATACATAGGTGTCAATATGAACCATCATGACTGAGTTGGAATTATCACAGGAATTAAAAAAAATGGTTTAATAGCCTATAAGTGTCTTTTACAACATTAAAAGATTAATGGAGAAAACCATATGATCTCAACTTTTCAGGGGAAAAAAACTCTTAATAAAATTCAGTATCAAATCGAAGAACTTTCTACTGTCACAACTGATTAGAACTAATAAATAAATAAACATTAAATATCAATTCATAATACATGATTTTGTTTGTTCTTCAGCATTTTTCTCAAAATGGAATGAAGAGTTCTGAAGCAGACAACAGAAATATTATACATATTACCTGAAGATCTTTGGGGAAAGGAAGGAATGAATATTGCTGACAGAACTGATTCTATGCAAAACAATATAACTGAGCTCTTACTTTACACTATATGTGAAAGTCAATCTCAGGGGAATTAAGGACACCATTGTAAATAGCAAGAATGTAAGACTTTGTAAGAAAATATGAGAAAATATTTTTATAACCTCAGAGTAAAAGAAATCATCTTAATACATAAAGGAATTATCAATGAAAAAAGACTAATAAATTCACCCATTTTAAGATGAAGAACATCTGACTCGCCAACAGAACCTTATAAGTGAAGTGAAAAGACAAGTTACAAACTGAATTGACTGCAGCACACACAATTGACAAACCAACACATAAAAATTTTACAAATCTATAAGGAAAAGATAAATGACACAGAATAATGAACAATGGGTTTAATTATGTCACAGGAGAAAAAAGAGAAATGGACAATACATGACAATTGTCCTACCTCACTTGAGTCTTCATTTGCATCTTCTTGCTAATAGAAATGCATTTTACACCTTTAGATTAGCAAAAATTATGATGGCAAAACAAATAATGACAAAGATGTGCAACCATTATATATGTGCCAGTATATGTGTATGTTGGCACAATCACTTTGGGAAAGAAATAATCGACAGTAATGCTATATTAACAGTACTGTTGAATATTAGCATACCCTATGACCCAGCAATTCCAAATTGTACAAGTATGTTCATGGTAGCTAAACTCATAATTTTTTTAAATGTGAACTCAAAAGTTTATCAATTGGAAATACATTTTTTATAATTTGCAATAGTGAATATGAATGAATTACCATGACATTACTGACACAATGGAATCGAAAAGTTGAATTTCAAAAGCAGATTATTAAAGAATGAATTGAAAATAATAACATCTTAACAAAGCTCAAATAACCACACCCAACAGAATATATTTTGTTATATTTTAGGGTTATATTCATATGAAAACTGAGGAGGAGGAGGAAGAGAAAGAAAAGGGAGGAGGGAAAGGAAGTAGTAATAGAAGTAGTAGAGTGGGTAGAAGTAGTAGTAGAAGTATTTCCTTTTTTTTAAAATTGCTTTTATTTTTTAAATACTTAACAGTGGAATGCATCACAATTCTTATTATACATATAGAACACAATTTTTCATATCTCTAAATATAAAGTATGTTCACACCAATTCATGTCTTCATACATGTACTTTGGATAATGATGTCCATCACATTCCACCATCATTGCTAACCCCCTGCCCCCTTCCTTCCCCTCCCACCCCTCTGCCCTAACTAGAGTTTGTCTATTCCTCTCATGTCTATCCCCTTCCTTACCCCACTATGAGTCAGTCATCTTATGTAGTGGAAGTATTTCAATAAACCTAAACTTCAGAATGGAGCTATCAATTGCTAGAACCAAAGAGATGAACAAAGTAAGAACACACATGTATGAGCAACTAATGTTACTAGTGCTTTATTCTAAATCTGATTGTAAATAGATTACTATTTTTCTTCAGAACTTATACACACATACATTACTATTTTTCTTCAGAACTTATACACACATATTTTGTATGTATACAGTCTTAATAAATATATTAATGTAAAATCACTGAAGTAGAGAAAGTTCAGAAAGAGAATTCAAGGAAACTAAATCTAGCAGAAAACATCTGTGCTGACTCAAGGTTAATAGATTAAAAATGAGACTGTTTCTGCCAATGACAAGGAGCGGCTTCACTTCAGTAGTTATCAGCAAATATCTAGTCCAGAGACTGAGGCTGACAAGGTTGGCTTCTTCCTTAAGTATTTACACAAATCACTAGTGTAATATGTCTTAATTGAGACCTTGTTACAAAATTGCATGGAAATGAGAAAAAGTTGCAAAGAGCAAACATTCTAGAAAGTCTCTCACAGTCAAAATAGGAGTGAATGAGAATTTGAAATGTTACTCGAGTCAACGTGCCTGCCCTTATAGGGACATGTGGATTCAGTCCCTTGTCAGAAGGGACTCTCCGGGTTGGAGAAATGTATGACACTAAGTCACCTCAAAACAAAAATCTCAAGAACCTCTCCCTCACTCAGACTCCATGCTCACCAATAAACATTTTGACTATAATTTGGTTTTCTTTTTCCAAGAAGTTTTTACTAGTTCTTTCCTATTCTCTTTAAGAGAATGACAGAATCATGAGCAAGGTTGATCTCTTCATTTATATTTGTGTATCTGCATGTGTATTTAAATCAATCTCCCTCTCCCCCAAGCCCCTGGCACTCCCCCACAACAAGATAGTCTCGCGTGAGTCTCAGGAGCAAGAACCAGCTATCTCTGGCCATCAGTGACACAGGAAGACCATTGCTACAATGTCCTCTTCAGCTGGGTGGCAGTTGTTGCAACTGAAAGAATATGGTAAAAACTCTCCTCACACATTTTCACTGAATAACCCCAAGACCCTGCATGATGAGTCCTTCTACTACATCAGAACTAAAGATCTGTAGACAATCCATGACAGTGCCTTTCAAATCTTACCTGCACCCAAGTGCAGATAAAGAAGTTAGTTGTGAAATCAAAACATTTAACTGACCAAGAAGAAAAGATCCTAAGCAACAAGATCTCTCTCTAGCTGTTAATAAGGCTGCTTTTGAATGAATAGTCAGACTGGGCAGTTCTCTCGTGTTTTCTCATGGAAGCAGATGTGATATGGAACAATCTTGTGGCAAGAGGTGGCTTTAGCTGTTAGCTTCTCCCTAAATCTTATTGGGTTCTACAGCCTGTAGCCATGTAATTATTGCTGTTCTTAGGATAACAATGTTGTTGGCATGGGCTCTGTGGGTGGACATCACCCCATCCTCTGAGGGCCCAAGCAGTACAAAAGGGTCGGGAATGACACATTAGCTCTTTTTGTTTGAGCTGGCACATCCAACTTGTCTTGCCCTTGGACATTGAGACTTACTGCTCCTAAAGCCTTCAGACTCATACTGACCTACATCACTGGTCTGGTTCTCCAGCTTGCTGAGAAGATCATGGGACTTCTCAGCCTCCATAATCACTGGAGTCAATTTTTTAAATATATCCATACAGATTTCTGTGTCTTTGAAGATCCTTGAGTAACATGCCATAAAAAGAAACATACAGAGATGTTAAAATTTTCTCTATTAAAAAAAAAGATGAAGAAATATCAGCTACTAACCAACTGGTACAGAACTGAATGAATTCCTATCTCACCAAGTTCTAGATTCAGTGAACTTGGAAACTGAGTTAGATACTATGCTTGGATGTCAAGTATAATAACAAAGACAATAATAAACTTTCATCAAAAGTCTTAAATGTCCTATTCTATTTGATCTTACAGACAGAATGAGAGCAAGAGGGAGAGAGAAGAGAGGGGGAGAGAGAGGGGAAGGGAGGGAGAGAAGGAGAAGCTAAGAACATGACTCCAGTTTACATGAGCAATAAGTATTACTGACATGTGTGATAACTCCGTAGTAATTACAGACGATCTTGGTTCCAGTGTGGAACTGCTCATCAACTTCCACCTGGATTTTAAAAGTAAGTCAATGGAAACATTGAAATCTCAATCTATCAGGGACAGACTAATTGCATCACTCCTCTCTCTTTCCCCATCAATCTACTTTGGAGCACTATTTTTACAGTACTTATCTGTAGATGAATTTTAATTATCCTCACACTCATGGTGGTAAATCTGCTCATTATACCACTGTCCTGTTCCAATCATTAAACTTACAATCCTTCATTTTCTGAATGTGAAAGTAACATTCTATTCCCAGAGGAAGGCAAGGACTATTAATGCCAGTCCTTATTTGTTTAGACCAAGAAACCCAGCCAAATGCCAGTTTCTTCCTTCAGATAAGGCTACAGGATTCATTAATAAGAATTAAAAGTAATGTGTGGCAAATCTTAAATGAACTGTTACTAACTAAAAGATTTGTTCCAAGTCAGTGCCTACTTGGGGTTTTCATAAAATCACCAGCACTGTACAACACAAAGAGCACTAGACTGGACGTCAGAGACTCGGCTTATAGTCCTTTCCCTGCTACTCTTTATATCCCTGAAGAAGCCATATAACCACTCCAATCTTATATCTCTGAATTTTAATTTAGACTCTAAAGATTCTCCCAGCTGTGACCTTCTTTGAGTCTTTCCCTCTTGCAACTCTGTGCTTTCATTAACTAAAACTTGGAAACATGCAAGATTCATTTTTGAAGAATTAATGGCTATTGCAACCTTTGCCAAGTTGGGAATCACCTACAGCTGTTATTCCAGCTTTGGTCCTCCCGGGAGACAGTTAGTCAGGAATGTTTCTTAATAAACAGGGCTAGCCCTTGGCTAAGTAATCAATAGGTACAATTTGTGTTTTATATGCCACTTTCCTTTCAGAATATCCTTTATGGCAGGCAATTCTCTTATTCTATCCCATGGAGCCAGCCTTCAGCGATCAACTAAACCACAGAAAGAAGATGGCTGATAAATCTAGGTTGGATTCCTTCCAGAAATTGTAGTGCAGCAGAAGATTCTTAGAGAATGAAAAGATCTTATGGCATGCCCTCCATCTGCCTCTCTTTAGCCTTCTCTTCTACTGAAATCAGTATACTATAGCAACACAAGCACATCACTGTTTATAGCAGCATAATTCACAGTAGCCAACTTATGGAACCAACCCAGGTGCTTGTTGACAGATGAATGAAAAAAAAAATAATGTGTCATATACACACAACAGAGTTTTATACACAGCCATAAAGAAGAAAAAAATTATGTATTCCCAGTAAATGGAAGAAACTGGACACATCATGCTGAGCAAAATAAGCCAGACTTAAAAAGTCAATTGTGAAATGTTTTCTCTCATATATAGAAGTTAGACCAAAATAAGGGTAAAAAAATGGGGGGAGGAATCCATGAAAATAGAAGGGAGATGAGTGGAAGACAGGAAGAAGGAGGGAGAAGGAAAGAAAAAAGGGAAGAACAGTGGAATAAAACTAGCCCAAGTTCATTTTATTTCTGTATCAAAGACGTGACATTCACACCATTTGTGGGGTGGGGGGAAAGTCAATCCTTTCCTCATCACTCATCAGCCCATGACTATCAATTACTGTTTGGCTAAAGATCTTTGAGGAGTCATCCTAAAAAGGGTTCTAAAAAGGCATTCCTAACCATCAACTCCACAGCCTCTGAAATCTGCCTAAAGTACACAGGGTTTGGTCACCTCCACTTGAAAAACTTAAGCACAAAATGAATACTAGCTACATATTTACTCCCACTTATGTTTAGACACCATTTAAGACTATTATCCCGACTAGTTTTCTAAAACAATAAAAAGAACTCAATTCCAAATATTTTAGAGTACCTTGTAGCTCTGGGAGTGGAAACTGAACTGTTTTCCTTTCCTTTAGCCATTTCAGAAGCCTGACATTTTCTCAGAGAATACTTGGGGTACACCAGGCAGGCTCTGGGGATGAAGCTTGAATGGGAAATACTGTCCTGTTCTTATGAAACTTAGGGTCTAGTGAGGCAAGCAGACAATTATGCAAGTATGTTTAACTATTTTATTATTAAATGCTATTACCAAGTGTAGACTTGATGACTGCAGAACCTATAACCCTTTCTCAGGTGGTCATGAAGGCTTTTCTAAGAAAGCAATGTTGAAGCCCAGAGCTAAAGAAAAAAGAGACATGACTTAGGTGGAGGAATTGGGAGGTGGTGACTAGAGGCAGTTAACAGGCAGAGAGAGCAAGATGTAGCAAAGCCCTGAACTGGGAAGGATTTTGAGGCACTTGAAGAACTAAAAAGGAGGCAGTGTGACTGGAAACTGGATCTGAGAAGAGTGGGACTTCTCACTCTACAGTCTGCAATGAGGGAGGCTTCTAAGCAGGAAGAGACCAGGACCTGTGGAGCTAGTGAAGGATTCTGGGGTGGAACCCAAGAGCAATGGTGTTTTAGTCAGTTTTTCTGTCACTGTGACCAAAAGATCTGACAAGAACAATGGAGAGGAGGAAAAGTTTATTTGGGACTCACATTTTCAGAGGTCTCAATCCAAAGACGGTCAACTCCATTGCTCTGGGCCCTAGTGAGGCAGAACATCAAGGCTGAAGGGTGAGGCCACCAGGAAGCAGAGAGAGAGCAAGCTCCACTCACCATGGACAAAATATAAACCCCAAAGACACACCCCCTAGTGACCTACTTCCTCCAGCTCCATCCTACCTACCTACAGTCACCTCCCAGCTCATTAATTAGCTAATCCACCAATTAGGTTACAACTCTCAATATGATCATTTTACCTCTGAACATCTCACATATCATCTGACATATGAACTACACCTAACAAATAAATAGAAAGTAAGGAAATGTTTTAGGCAGAGGCAATACATTAAGATTTGCATAAGGGATCACTTTGGATACCAGTGTGGATATGGCTAAATGGAGTGGGGACTAAATACGAATGAGAAGGGATGGGTCTGACAAATGTGGGGAAACAGTGCATATACAAAACCCAGAAAGACACCAAGAGTAACAGTTTGTAGACAAGTCAATGCATTTGAATGTGTTTATAAGGGAGGATCCACAGTTTGGTGATGCATTGGCTATAAAGGGTAAGGGAGAAGGTGATGTCAACGATGACTTCCAGGTTTGGGTAGGTTCATCTGTGCAGATGGTGATATCATAGCTCAATGTGTTCACAGCATTAAAATATTTTGGGGGAGTATGGAAAGAGCCTAAATTCAGTGTTAGAATTTGGTTTGTCCATGAGATGTTCAGGGGATTTTAAGTGAGCAATTGGCTGTTTGAGATCTGTATTCAGAGGAGCTATCTGAATTTGAAATGTAAATGTGGAAAAACATACAATTACTTAGAGAAGGTACATAGAGGGTCAATACAGTGGAGTCATGGCAAACTAAACATTCAAAGATCAGGTAGAAATTGAAAGCTCAAGCAAGGAAACATCATGGAACTTCATCACATGCTGCTTTTATATTATAGCTTCTTTTGAAAATGCCAATGAGGTTGTTTACAAGGCACCATTAAAATAGGGCATATCCAGGAAGTCAGTGTAGACAGTGTTTTCAATACGCCCTCTGATAGCCGAGAAAGCCAAGGCAGGTCTCTGCACATCAGCCAAAACCAAAATTTGTTTATGTTTCCACCCACAATTACATCAGGCATTAAATTTGATCTGATCCTATCCCTTCTGAAAACACATTTTTAGTTTTCACTTTCTGTGGACCTAGATGGGTCAATTACTGGAAGGGCATACACACCTCTGACTTTACCAGTTATTGCCAAGTTACCATCCAAACAGCCGTGGGCAATGTTTGAATTCCAGTTTTTCTGTATCACAAACAACATTTGAGGTATCACATTATTTTTATTTTTCTCCTCTGATGGGCATAAAATGGTTTCATCATCAGGTTAAAGCATTATTTATATTTAGTTTTTCCTATGATTCTAGATTTTAAAATACTTCCAGTACTATACCTTGTTTTGTTTTGTTTTGTTTTACCATATCTTGTTTTCAATAATGTACACACAATCACCCTGCCTCCCAAGATTCTGATTTGCTGTGATGTTGCAGTGTGGATGCATTCCAGAACATGGGCATTTGCATTTTCATCAAGTCTTTTAGCCAATTCCCTCACTTTTTAGAATCAATGGTTGGGAATTATGAAGAAAGTTTTATTCTCAAAAACATAGTAACATAGCTGTACACTATGCTTGCTGGATATCGGGTACACAGAGATGGAAGTCCTCAATCCTGTTCTCAATGAGAACCTGTGTAGGGGTGAGGGAGAAGGATCAAATAAATAGACCCAGAATTCCAATAGAATAACCTGGGATGGGACAGCACTGGACACTTAGGGGCAGCATACAGGAGAACCAGACTAAGGAGGAAGGAGCAGCCTGGAATGAGATTACATCTGAGTCAGGATTCAAAGGATGCGTGGAAACACACCAGTGGGGAGGGAAAGCATCCTTGATTTTACAACAAAGCAAAGAAGAACATAGAAACTACAAAGAATGGAAAGTATTTTGAAATATGAAAAGACAAAAGTAAGGGACAAAGAGACAAAGTCAATAATACTAAAAGAAAGGTAAAGTCTAGCTATAAATCACAAAGGGCTGCATGCCATGCTCAGGAATTTAGACTTGATCCTACAGAAGATGGAAAGCCTTTCAAGAATGATTATTTAGCAGGAAAGCGACAGTATTAGGATTTTCTCCTCAGAACGATCTCCCTGGTGTTGTGTGGATAGTTGTTAGTTGGCATCCTTGCCACTGTTCTTGCTCCCTAACTTTCTGCAGGTTGGAATCCAGGCTGGAATGGATGGTCCTCCAACCTAATAGCAGTTGAGATAGTTGCAGAAACTACAGAGGTAAACAATGTTGGCAGAAAATGAGAATTAAACCAAAGCTGAACCTCTGGTCTACCGCTTGAGAAGTCCAAGTACTATGGTGCCAAGAAAAATAGGGAATCAAGGAGGAAGAGATTTGGAAGTACAGGTCAATGGTGGGAGAAAAGTTGATATTTTCAATTTTGT